CCCAAGGGGTCAAACGCAGACGTCCCATGCGAACGGGCCCAGAACTGACCTAGCTGGCTTAATATGCAACTCACAGCCCAACCTGCGGGCCCGCTATCTGCGACCCGTGTAGACGGCCCGCTCAGGTTGCCTAAACCCGAACAACCCGTCCTCCACCTTTTAATTAATTAATTTTTTTAATTTTTATTTTTAAAGAAAAGATTTGGGACCCACATTTTAATTCTCCATATTTTTTAAATAAATCTCACATGCCTAAATTAATTTTTCCTTGTGTTTTATATGGAAATCATATGGGATAAATATTATGATATTTTAATATTATTTTATTATGTAAGTCTATCCCTTGGTATTATTTAATTAATTTTTTTGGGATAGAATACTTGTTTTATTATGTAATTATCCTAAAATTAGAGAGAATTTTATATAAGATATTATTTTATTAATTTATTCTAAGAGTTTGTACTCACTGAAAAATGCTATAAATAGATCTTTACCTATAGGTTGTAAACACACCAATAATAATCAATTTGAGAGAATTCTTGAAAGTTTATATTTTTTTTTCTTTTAACATTTTTGTTAAATTTAGCTTCTTCAAATTCTTTAGAAGTATTGAGTCTTCAGAAGTCTTATTGAGCTAAAGAGCGGGGATCAACTTCTCGATAAGTCTGTGACATTTTTCATTTTTTTGTTTATTTTTTCTAATATTTATTTTTGCATTCTTTTTAGATTGTAAATTCATTAGATGGAGGATTTATTTAGGTGGTTAAAGTTTCGGTATTGCATACATTGAGTGGATTATAGAATTGATTCGATCCTTTCCATGCCCTCTGCGTCAAGTCCTCTTATTTCACATGTGTGGGTTGCCACATGTGTAGAAAAGACCACTAGCACACGCGGGTCCACCACCCATGTGAGATAGCACGTGAGGCGTGTGAACAAACAATCTCGCATGCCCGGTGCGCGCACGCAATCCAAGTCTAAGCAGGAGGCCCATGTGGCTAGCTTGGCCTGCCCACGCGACCCACAGCCCAACCCGTGTGCCCATCAGTCCACCCGCATGACTAGGTCTTCCTAGTCCTTTTTGGACTCCCTTTTTCTATTTTTTCTACTTCTACAAGGTGTCCAAGCTGCAACAATATCTATAAATTAATCCATGTGATTAATATGCTTAAATTCAAGGAGGAATTCTATTTGAAATTGAAGAAAAATGATCCTTGAAGATTTGGGAGAAGAGAACTATTATTTATTAATTTTTTTCATGTAAAACCTTATCTCTAGGGTTCTTTAATTATTATTTTGGGATTTGTGTAAAGATAAATATTTTGTTTTATGTATTTGAATTTAAATTAGGATAGGATTTAATTATTATACTATTTAAGTATTTGATTTTTAGTTAAAATAAATACTAGAGTTTGGATAGGAATCCTAAATCCTATTCCAAATAGAATTAAAAATTAAGAGCTTAAATAAAGGCTTTAGTTCAAGCATTAGAATCATATATTGAGAATTGATAAAATTCAAAGCTTTGAGCTTTTATCTAAATTAGTCTAATGTTAATTTTCTTTCTCTTCAAGTTCTTCCAAGTTATGTGAGCTTGTTGAAGTCTTGATTGAGTCGAGGAGTTATGATTGATTTATCGAGCAAGTTCTTGACGTCTTTCTTTTTCTCATTTTTGTTTCTTAATTTTTGTTTTTACATTTTTAATTTTAAAATTGTAAATTTTACAATTTAATTAGATAGTTGAGTTTTTGATATTGCATGCCATTGGATTGAGATTTCAAAAGTCAAGACAATCATTCTCTCTCATACCCTTCTGCGTCACTTATGTTAATTACTTTTCTTCTTTTATTTAACTAACTTTATTTGTTCATTTACTGTTTCCACAAAATGGTTTTATTTCATTGAGTTAAATTTTACCTATTAACCTATTTCATTTTTCATTTTTTATCATTATTTCACCTATGCTCTTTATCTTTCATGATTTGTTTTATCGTATTCCTACAATTATTTCTTTAATAATATAATAACCCGAACTCCTTAATTCATCACTAATTTATAAACATCTAACCATCATTCAAACAAGCAAATTTTATTTAGATTAACATCTATATTCCCTTGCCCAATTTACCCTTTACTTTAATTCTAATTATAATTTCACTAATTAATTTGTTTCTCTTTTTTAATAACTTCAAAATCCCATTTTCACTTATATTTTATATACATCTATATATACATATAATTATATATACATACACAAATACATAGCGCAGATTTATGTATACACATATATATCTACATGTACACACATCTATATACATACAGATTTATATCTACCTATATATATCCACATACACACACATTTGCACACAAATTGTATATACCCACACAGATTGAATAAACATATTCACAGAGATTTATATATATTTTCACATATATACATGCATCCATACACACATATTTACATACCTCACACAAATTTACATATATATGTAGGTGGTTACAAAATTGCACAACATACATATTCACTTATATATATGCTCACACACACACACACACACACACACACACTCACTCATATATATATATATATATAATATATATACATTCATGAATACACATATTTATATATATATATATATACCTTTATATGCACACACACAGAGATTATGATATATACACATATACGCATATATATAAGCACACATATACATATATGTTAGTCAATTATTAACCTCTCATACGATTCCTTGCCTCGCCTCCCCCTTTCATCCATCACAGTATAAATATACCAAAATTACATATATATTCACATAATAATTTAAACATAATGCATATGGGAAATTTAAACGCAAAAAAAAAAAAAAATTGAAGGAAAATAAAATCATTCTCATCGGATTCTTGCCTGCATGAAAGCTTCTTAAATAATTAAAGCTTTGGTTAGAGTTTATTAATCGATTTAGAGAGATGAATCCTAGAATCAACAACATTCTACTTTCTTACCCACTATTGAATCCAACTTGGCTAGCTCCCCGAAGTTCGTAACAACTAGGTTGTTTATTTCTTAATTGGAAGATGAGATCTGGTTGGGGTTCCATTTCTCACAACCCGAAGGGGTGCTTGGATTCGAGTTTTCTCATTTCCTTTTCTTCGATTGTGTCTGCCTCTCTCTCTCTCTCTCTCTCGCGCATACCGATCTATGTCTTGATCTCCTTCTCTCCTGCACGCCGTCTTTCTTTCGGCCACCGTATCTCCTCTTCTCCTTTTATGTTCGAAGTCCTCTCATCTCAAAGAGGAAACAACTTAGGGTTAATTTAAGTATCCTCTCGGAGCCGTCAGATCTCTCTCTCTCTCTCTCTTGTGTGATCTGGATCGTTCATTAATTTTAACGATCTTGATCATTTGATGTCTTTAACTTGAAATCGGTTCGATTTCGTTTCCCTGGGTTATGACTTATTTTTTCAGGATCGTTGGATCTTCCTTTGTAACAGATCCCAACCGTCCATTTTCCTTTCTTTACTACTGCCTAATTTCTTTTAGTTTTTTCCAGGTTCCCCTCACTTTTAAAAATCTTACAATAAGGTCCCTTCATTATTTCTAATTAACGTATCTAAACTTTTTATATCTTTTTCCAGTTTTTAATTATAATTTCCCAATCCCGAAATTTTTTTATTTTTCTCCAAACACTAATTTTAATTTTCTTAATTCTTTTGAGTCTTTAAGATTATTTTTCAAGAAATTTATGTTCGTGAGGTTAAATTAGATTAATAAAATGTTAATATTAAATTAATATTTTTTCGAAAATTAATATTTTGGTAATCCTACACCTCACGACCTATTTCAGGTCAACTTCAAAAATTTATTTACGTTAAGTTTCCCACAAAAATTGTATATATTTTTTTCTCTCTTTTAATTTTACTCAGCAAAATGCATTGAGACTTGTTGTTCGACTTTTGGGGGTGTTACAGTAAATCAAATTGATTACATTTGAATAAAACTAAATTCTCCATCTCTTTATGAATATGGGGGAATAATTCTATATATGCAGACTTGATTTATTTTTAAATTTATACTTATTTAAACAAAAAATAGTAGAAAATTTAAATTGTAATTGTAATAACTGAGTTCCTCTAAGATTTTATATAATTTTTTTAGATCAAAATTTATTATATGCTGCTAATATATGCAAGATTTCATAATATGAAATATCAAGAATTTGAACATTTTTATGTATGTTATTTTAATATATATTTTTAAAATTACTATGTATATGTACTTTATAAAATTATAAATATAATTAGTGTCACGCTATAAGAGATATAACATATTTGTAATAATAAAATTATTCTGTACAAATAAGTTCAATTAATCAAATCACATATTCTTTGGTGTCATTTATTATTTATAGTAGCATACTAATTGTTTGAATTTATTTACTTGTGTAAAATTTCCTAGTTGTATTTATATTTATTGGAATTAAAAAGAGTAAATTTATAAATAAATTGCGCACAAGTTTTGGATTTATTGAAAATATTTTTTTTAGGCTTATGTTTTAAAATCTGCTTTGGTTTTTTTATCATAAAGAAAAAAATTTTAGTTAAATACAAAAATCTTTTTAAATAAAAACAGAATATTTGTTTTAAATTTTAACAGAAAAATAAGTCAAAATTTAAACTAAACATCTTTGAGGTATGACTTGTAATATAAGAGATGAATGATATTTTTAATAAATATATTTATCAACTTTATAATTTTATTAATTTAATAATTTTAAGATAAAAATATAAAAACATTAAATTAATTATGTTGAATAATTAATTTTTTTAAAGAGTAGCAATAATGTGCAATGATATCTCATCGTTGAAATCCATGTCAAGAAAATATGTATTGAAAGCTTGACCAATAATGAGATGAATGGTAGCAATAAGTTCTTGTACGTATGGTGATTTAATGAAGAACAAATGAGACTAGAAAAGAATAGAGTAGAGATAGAGCCATGAGAATGGAAAAGAAAATTTATTTATCTCCCAAAATTTGTCTGTACAGGAGGTTTTACAGTCCATATATACAAAGATAACAACCTGCTAACAGAAGACTACACACTTAATGAATAGAAAACATAAGAAACAAAATAAAAAATTATTATGTACACGTCATCAACTCATTAACAACCAGAATAACGCTACATTCCCCCCTCAAGTTGGAGTTTGGTGAACATCACACAAGCCCAACTTGGATAAATGGTGTGTGAATGCCAGGGGCAGAAAGAGACTGTGAAAAGTTTTGCCAATTGTGATGTAGAAGGAACATGTTGTGGCAGAATGAAGCCTTGTTTGAAATGATCACGTACTAAATAGCAGTCTATGTCCAAGTGCTTCGTTTGTTCATGGAAAATAGGATTTTTTGTGATATGAATTGCTGCCTTGTTATCACAGAATAAAGAATCAGGTGTGGATATTGGAATCTGCAAATCACGTAGCAAATAAGAGAGCCAAATAAGTTCACAAACTGTAGATACCATGCTTCGATATTCAGCCTCAGCTGAAGAATGTGACACGGTGGACTGTTTCTTGGTTTTCCAATAAATGCGACAAGAACCAAGAAAGATACAATAGAATGTGAGAGATCGTCTACTATCCCTACATGAGGCCCAGTCAGCATCACAATATGATGTTAACTGAAGGTCACCACCAGCAGAAAAATATAAGCCCTTAGAAGGACAACTCTTAAGGTATCAAAGAAGATGAGTTGCTGCATCCCAATGCTGGTGATAAGGAGAGTTAACAAATTGGCTTAATTGTTGAACAGTATAACTGATGCCTGGCCTGGTGAGATTTAGATATAACAATCTTCCAACTAGTCTTCTATAACGTTCAGGATCATAATGAGGAGTGCTTGTTGCTATGAATTTGAAATTCCTTAGAAGTGGAGTAGAAACTGGTTTTGAACCCAACAGTCCTGTATCTTCCAAGATATCCAGTACATACTTCCATTGATTAAGAAAAATACCTGATGGAGACCTTGCAACTTCAATGCCAAGGAAAAACTTTGCTGCTCCAAGGTCTTTAATAGTAAACTTGGCATGAAGAAATTTCTTAACTGCTTCAATATCTGCTGCATTAGTACCAGTTATAAGTACATCATCTACATATACTAACAAAGCTAGAAATGAAGTAGAGGATGACTTGACAAAGAGACAATGATCTGCACTTGACTGTTGAAATCCAAAAATCTGCAGCTGCTTAGTAAACTCAATGTTCCATTGCTTTGAAGCTTGCTGAAGTCCATATAAAGACTTAAGTAATTTACACACTCGACCTGGTTTAGCTTTGCTATAACCTGCAGAAGGAGTCATATACACTTCCTTATCAATAAATCCATGGAGAAAAGCATTATTTATGTCGAGTTGATGTAAGGGCCAAGCATTAACAGTTGCCACAATAATAAGTAATCTAATTGTAACCAATTTAACTACTGGAGAGAACCTTACTGCGTAATCAATCAACTTGATTGTAACCTTTGGCTACCAAATGAGCCTTGTGCCTGTCCACACTGCCATCAAGATTTAGTTTTAACTTATATACCCACTTGGAACCAATTGGTTTCTTCCCTGCAGAAAGATCAGTAATTTGCCAGGTATGGTTAGCTTCCAATGCATCGATCTCTTTTTGCATAGCTAACATCCATGTTGCTTGAGTACATGTCTGCTCATATGAATAAGGTTCTTTAACAGAAGATACATTTGCTAAGAAGGCTAAGTAATTGTTAGATAAACGGTTAGTGTGAAGATATGAATAAGTTGGTGGTGTATAAACAGTTCCTGCAGAATGTGTAATAAGATTAAATGAAGGGAAAGTATTAGGACAAGTCTGTTGTGTGCACTGATCATGAACATTAGAAACAAAATCTTGAAGCCATGCAGGTTTCTTTTTAAATCTCAAACTTTGTCTAACTGGTTGAACTACTTGGGAGTGATTAGAAGGAGCAGGAGATTGATGGTTATCTGATGAATAAAATGGGGAAGAGACTGAAATGGATGGTTGATTAGAAATAGGATCATTTAAAAGCGAAATGGGAAGAGGCAAAGATAATTCATAATTAGATGATGTATGAGCTGAAAAGGGACATTTACTTTCATGAAAGATAACATCTCTAGAAAAATGAATTTTATGATTCTCAATATCATACACTTCGTAAGCTTTCTTACCAACATTGTAACCAAGGAAAATACACTTGAAGGCTCTAGGGGCAAATTTATCTTTGATGGAAAAAGTATTTGTGGCAAAACAGAAGGATCCAAACACTTTAAGACGTTGATAATCTGGGGGCTTACCATATAATTTAGCAAATGGTGTTTCCGAATGTAAAATGGAAGAAGGCAGCTAACTTGTTAACAGAAAGTAAGTTGTATTCGAATTCAGGTATGTGCAAGGTATTTTGTAGCTGTAGTTTAAGGGTGAGTGATTCAGTACCCGTATTTTGAACCATTTTCACAATTCCATCTAGCAAGTATACAGGTGTAGGTGAATGAACTTTGGTAAAATGCGAAAGTCAGTTAATGTTTGAGCATATATGGCTAGAAGCACCGGTATCCACTATCCAAGAATCTTTATCAATAAGAGACAATGTACTATAAGCATAATGAAGTATTGAATCTGCAAAATCGTTGAAATGAGCAAAGTTAACTTGGTTGGCCTCCACCTGTTTGTCCTTCATGAACTTGTCGATTTCCTTCTGAACTATATCTGCTAAAGAAGCGTTATTCCAATCCACTTTCTTCTGTATGTCTGCATCCGTTTGCAGGGGGAGTGATGCATTTGCACAGTTAACCATATGTTTCCCTTTCTTTTCTTTGTACTCCTTGTACCATTCAGGATAGCCATTCAATTTGAAACACTGCTCCCTGACATGTCCTTCCCTTCCACAGTGTGTGCAGTTACCAGATAATTTAGAACAATTGTCCCTCACATGACCATCCTTCCCACAGTGAGTGTAGTGTTTGTCAGTCCTATTTGACTCTCTTTTGAAGTATACCTATCCTTTTTGGACTGTGAAGTTCTAGCTAGCATTGCTGCATTATCAGTTATATCTTTATAAGAAATATGAACTTCACATTATTTTTCCACTTTCAAAACCATTGAATAAGCTTTACTTACACTAGGAAAGGTTTCCATCATCAGTATCTGGTTCCTAATGTGATCATAAGAATCATTAAGTCCCATTAAAAACTGCATCAATCTATTAAAAGAATTCATGTCTGCTACAGACTTCCCAGCCCCACATGTACATTCAGGAAAAGGAACTAAACAACTTAATTCATCCTAAAGTCTCTTAAGCTTTGTATAATATTGCACCATTATTTGATTTCCCTGTGTAATAGAATTTATCTCTCTTCTGCAAATGATAAATAATAGGGCCATTGCACTCTCCAAATTAAGCCTCAATTTCTTCCCATACTTGCTTAGAACTAACGGTGTATAGAAAAGACTCCACAATATCCTTAGAAATAGAATTTAAAATCCAAGAAGAGACCGTACAATCTACTTGAATCCACTTCTCATATTCTGGAGAAGTTTCATCAGGCATTGCACATTTTCCATTTATGAAACCCAGTTTAACTGTAGCTCCAAGAGCTATTTTCATTGACCTACCCCATGACAAATAATTGTTTCCTGTTAAAGGAATAGTAACCAGATTCATACCTGGATGATCTGACCTGTGTAAAGATAATGGATCACTATTATCAACTACACTAACAGCTTGAGGTTGAGAAGACTGTGAACCAAATCCTTGCTCCTCTGCCATGTCCAGTAAATGAATCAACAGTACAAGATATCACCAGATCGATTACTCTGATACCATGTACGTATGGTGATTTAATGAAGAACAAATGAGAGTAAAAAAGAATAGAGTAGAGATAGGGCCATGTGAATGGAAAAGAAAATTTAGTTCTCTCCCAAAATCTGTCTGTACAGGAGGTTTTACAGTCCATATATACAAAGATAAATGGATGAGCTGGCTAACAACCTGATAACAGAAGACTGCACACCTAATGAATGGAAAACGTAAGAAACAAAATAAAAAAATTATTATGTACACGTCATCAACTCACTAACAACCAGAATAACGCTACAGTTCTGATCTAATTGAATTGTTTTCTTGGGGATTCTATTTGGTTTAGTTAATTTATTATTGTTATAAATTAATTAATGGTTGAATGATTTATATTTTTATATATATTTATAAAAATATAGTTTAAAATATTACGATATTATTGATTATTTGTTTTATTATTAATGTGTATATTTACACTTAGAAATATGAATTCAAATTAAGTTATGAGTTTTATATTTTATTTTTAAAAAATTATAGTATTATTAATTATTTATATTATTATTAGTGTATGTTTTATTTATACATATTTTAATTTATTTATTTTTAATTTTATAATTAAAAAAAGAAAAAGCTTAATAAAGCTAGCAAAATAGGATGAATCAAATTAATAGGAAACATTATAAATGCATAGCCTTAACTTGTTAATATTTTTTGAAAAAGAAGAAATTGGAGAACATCCTCCTTGTATTTAACATTTATTTACCTTAAAAAATTGGCAAACCAAAATTACGTTAAACTATGATTCTTCTATAAAAGAACAAAATGCCTATTAGTGAACGGATAAAACATTAAACTAGAAAATCTATAAGATAGTTTAGTTTTAAAATTGTCATTAAATATTTGAAACATAAAGTTTTAATCCGTTCAATTAAATACTTCCTACATGGTCTTACGTCAGCCTTTATCCATTCACATCAATTATTCATTTTTTAAATAAAAGTATAATTCTTTTGTTATTTATTTTGCTTTTGAAAAATTCAATGTTCGACAATTTTGTTGAAAAAATAAAATAAAATACAACTAAATGAAACCACAGGCTCTCATCTTCTTCCTCTGCCACCATTTATTTCTATCTGATCGCAAAATCCAGAAACAAAAAATTTCACTTCACAATTTCATATCGGCTCTGAATTCTCGAATTTATCCTTATTATTTTTTTAAATCTGAAAATTTTGCTGCCTTTTATACCAAACCTTGCAGTCCGTACAATGGAAAACGAAACAAAATGGTCTTAGTTTCAAGTTTTTTTTCCCTAAATGTTTTTTCTAGGAAACAGAAAAAATGGATTGATTTCTTTTCTGGGTCGTTAAATTGAGAAAATATGGATATGGAAGTTGCGCACTTGGTTACCTCTCCGTATTCTTAGGGCTTATCGGGTTCTGGGGATTCAATACAACTGCCACCTTATCTTCAACGGATCTCACTGTCTGGTTCATTTCACTCACTGTAAATTCTCTTCTGTTATTTGGGGTTTCATTTATTTGCAGTTCATTTTGATTTGCGGCTTCGTCTATGGTTGATTTTGTATTTATTTGTTCTGCTGGTCATCATTTTTGTGAATCGGTGTAAACGTTTTGTTGAAATCTGAAAAGCAAGTGGGAGAGATAAGGAAGTGGGGGATTTTGAGATTTCTCTTCTTGAGAGTAGTAATGGTGTCTGCAAATGACCCAATTGAATCGATTTTCAATTCGATTCAAGTAGTTAAGGAAGCTCTTTCTCCGCTTGAACATGGGTTGAAGAAAGCGGCAAAGGATCTTGAAAATCGATGGGGAGTCAATAGAAACAGGGGACATAATCTTGAATTAGTTGCAGAGTTTAATGGTGGTGACAGGAACGGTAAGGTGCAGATATGCGGGGTAAAGAAGAAGGGCAGTACTGGTGCGCAGTGTATGGTTGGTGAAGAGAGAAAAAGAGGTTTGTCCATTAAGGTTCCGTTCAAGACGTTGTTAGGAGTTTTTTCGCAGAATATCGGAAATGAGCATGGTAAGGTTGAGGGGATTAGGAAAGAGTCAAAAGTGAAGGATGCAAATAAAGATGATAATGGGTCTTGTGTTAATTGTTTGCAGTTTGCGATGACTTGGTCTTTGTTGGTTAATGGTTTTGTTCAAGCTTTTCCAAGCCCTTTTAGAACTGGGAAGAAGCGGATTCAAAAAAAGGGAGTTGATGATAAAGAGTACGTGCATTTGTCTGGACATGGATCAAAATCAAAAGCTTCTTCTGAAGTTAAACAGAGGGAAACAAGAGGTCAGTTTTTTAATTTTTCGAAGAACGAAGGAGTAGAAGATAAGGAACTGAAGCTGATGCCGTTCGAATGCTTTATAGGTTTTATTTTTGATCATTTGTCTCAAAATCTTCAGAGATTTGACTGGTCTATGCCTCAAAGTGATTTCAATGATAGTCCTTGCTCGTCCTCATCCCCGCCTTCGACTCGGTTTGGTCATCTGAAGGTTGTAACCAGCATCTGGGAAGGTCGAAAAGCAGATGTAAATGTGTTCTTGGGGAATTTGAAGTTTGCAAGAGTGGGAGGAATACCTTCAGGTATAGTTGGAGTAACTTCTGTAGATGAACCAAATGATGATGGTGTTAGTACTGGAACTAAGGAAGAAACTGGGGTTACTTCTCCGCAGAAGCTAGCAACTGGGATACTTAGTATTCCTCTGTCAAATGTGGAGCGGCTGAGATCCACATTATCTACTGTTTCTTTGACGGAACTAATTGAGCTGTTGCCGCAGCTTGGACGATCTTCTAAAGATCATCCTGACAAGAAGAAACTAATTTCTGTTCAGGATTTCTTTAGATACACAGAAACTGAAGGTATGGTTTCTCAGTTGCTCTGTGATCAATTATCTATTTTATTTATTGTTTATTATTTCAATCACCTAAATTCTCTATATCGTATTTATTTGTTTTATTGGGCTAAAAGAAGTTCTTTATGCTGTTGATGAGATCAGTTGCCATTAAATTGAAAATATTTGACTGGTAAATGAGATATATTATGAAATGGTAGAAGGTTTCTATTCTTAATGGGACTCTAGGTTAGTGATGAAAAGTGTTTGATCCTATTGTAAATGGCACATTTCTTCTGATAATGGTGTATTTACTTGGAACGTTCATTATCCTTTTCCTATAAAAATTATAATCTTTGGTAGATTTTATTGATTTGTGGGATAAATCCAGAGAGATACCTTTTCTTTTGCTCTTTTTTTCTTCTGATGTAGGAAAAATTTACACAAAAGTTCATTAGCTTGTAAACTTTACCTGACGTCAGCTTCATGATAAAGATATGGTTCCTTCTATAGCATTTTGTTCTGGAATACTATGAGATAACGACATAGAGATTTTGTTATATTATAGAAGTTTCAATTGTCTGATACAACATCTTTACTGTGTTACAATTGAATTAGGATTGGAATTCATTTTTCTTTTAACTGGGTTCCAATTAATGAACTTCCATCAATAATTCCCTTGTAGTTATGCAAAGTTGAAGTTTAGATTGCGTTGCTGATATTTGGGCAACTGCTTTTAGAATCTTAGAAGTTACGAAACTGAGCATTATCCTTTTGATATTTTAGTTCAATTCCTTTGTTTAAATATTTGAGAACAGAGTTCTGTTGAGAGTGGATTTTTATTCAAAATTTTGATAAAGCTTAGAGAAAAAGGTTCTTCAATAAGAAAAGTTTTGGATAAAAATCTTTAGAGATTGTTGAAGCATGTTTCTGAATGCATATTGGATTTTGGTGGATTATGAACGTAGGTTTTACAAGGCGTAGCTTCAGTCTATTTTAGATGGATGGCTACAGTTTGTAACATCATTGCATTGCTATATGTTTATTTATTTATTTTTTGGTTTTATGGGTTAGGGTATTTCCAGGTTTTCCTTTTTGCACTGAGACTAAATTAATGTATTTAATACCAGGCCTGCCGTCGTGTTCCATTCCAACTGATGTATTTATGGCAGTATAGTGTAAATAAAATTCTATACCACATAAATATTGGTTGAGACCTAGTAACTAGTAAAACTAATTACACTAGTCGGTGCAAGCAGTGACATACCAATACAAAAAATGTTTTTTAAACAAAAAATTAAACATGAGTAAATTATTATTTAAAAATAAAAAAATGAAACTAAAAAAATTAGTAATTTAAAGATACAAAATTGAACCTAAAAGTGTAGTTAGTTTAAAAAATTAAATTAAGGGCAAATTACACAAATATTTTTAAGGTTTATCATCTTCTACAAAAACATGATTACATATTTGAATGAACAAAAACAATATTAATATTGCACAAATTAAATTTGTCTTACAAAAAAAGTGAGATCACAGTTGTTAAAGTTAATGGTGAAATAAGAGGAAACCAAAAATGGGAGGTCCATTTTTTACCTCCTAATTTTTAAGCAAAAACACATGGCAGTTCCTTCTTCTCTTACTCTCTTCTCTCTCTTCTCTCCTCTCTCCTCTCCCCTCTTTCATGGTCAGCTACCCTGCCTCTGTCTTCAATCTTCTGCTGCTGCTTGTTCTTCTTCAATTCCTGAAACTCTTGAGATGATTGCAATCAAAACATGATGCTTGTCTTCACCATCGTATGATACACCACCTCTATTCTCCCACTTATCAATCTTCCCCATCCCCACAATGCAACTTGTGAGATCTGACAACCAGCTGTCTTGATAGCTGCTCCAAAACCATCTTCTTTTTCTCGTGATCTAGATTCCAAAATTGAACTCCGGCCTCATAAGCTCCCTGTAATCCTCATCATCATTAGCCCTTTACAAGCTCACCACTGTATTGCTAAAACTTCTCTACAATCCACACTGTAATTCGAGCTGTAAGTCGATCTTGTTGGACACCTGTTCAAGCCCTGAATGTAAAGATCTCTTTCCTTGGTAAGCACTCTAGTAAGTGTTTTCATGATCTTCAGAAAGTTGCGCTGGTCCTACGTTTTGTCTTTTGTCATCCTCAACCTTGGATTTATGGAAAATCAAATGTAAAATTTAATATATGGAGAAAGATTGGGCAGCTACTGTTTAAATATTGGGTTTAGGTCCTCTGGTTCATATTGAAATTGTGTGTGCTGTACTTCTGTTTGAGCTTCAACTTCAACTCACTGTTGTAAACCTGTTGTTCATAAGGCTGCTGGTTTTGATAGTTCTTCTCAGCTGTGGCAGTAATAGAAAGTTTTTTGTCTTTTAGTGGTGGAGAGGTCAATGATTTGTTGTTCAAGTTGTGGTCAGTTTCTGCATGTTCCTGCTGGGCGATCAGTTGTTGTCTTTGGCTGTCTTTCTTGGGTCCAAGACTGCTGGGAAGGAAGAATCTTTACCATTGCAAGATGTTTTGAATTTTTTTATTGTTCTCCTTGCTTTCTTGGAGGCCTAACAGGATTTTGTCTTGTTGCTTTATTGGTTTGGTTATGCTTGCATCTTGTAAGGCCAATTCCAACCAGGTATGATATATGTGTGCTTACAGGTTTTACTGTTGCTTAGGTGATGATTTGGGTCTTATTACAAATTATCAGTGTCTATTAATGTAATTTCTTTACTTCTCAATAAGAGTAGTATTGGCTTTAGGACATCTTGGGCATTAAAGACTGTTCTGTTGAAATTTAAGATCCCGTGTTTTTCATTAGTTTAGTTTTGTTCGCGGGATGGGGTTCTTGTAGTCTGCTTTGTTTCTTCTGCTCGAGGTGGTTCCATGATGCCATGCAAGACATAGGGATATCGTTTTGGGTGTTTCAAGAAGCTCTCTTTTATGGTCGCTAGCGGTTTAATTTTTTGTGTGATTCGTTGCTGTTTAAATCAAAACATAAGTCGCTCTCTTTGATATTTGAAAAAAATAAGAGCTAACTTCTGCTTATGGTTGCTGAGCTTGCCTGTTACTGGTATTATCTGGTGTGATTTTTGCTGTTTGTTGCTATCTTGCTTCTTTGACTGTGTTTTTGTGGCTTTTAGTTGTGTTGATGAGAACAAGGTTGGTGACGGTGATAAGCTTGTGGTGAATGGGACATGATCTTAGGCACAGAAAGAACGAGAGCAAGTTAACGAAAAATGAAGAGAAAATAAATCAATTTTCTTTCTTTCCTTCTTGTGGCAAATTTTTTTGAAAAGCAAATCAATGTTGTTTCTAGGTAACATATGTTTCATGAAAATCTTCTTTGGTTTATTAATCTTTTTTTGGAGGGAAAAATAAATTAGGGAATAATGGGTGATTGACAGAAAAATTAACAAAATTAAGGAGTTTTAAGGGTCAGATTTGGTAAAATCTCCTTTTTGTATAATTCCAAAAGAGTCATGTTTTTGTATATTATGCTAAACCTTGATAATACTTTAATAAATTCGCCCTTGATAATTTTTTGCAGGATTACAACTTCAATGATAAAGTTTTATAAATAACTTTGACTTATTTATTATATTTGTATTTTGAGTGTGTAAACATTATTTATATTGTTTGGTACTTTTAAGGAAGGGAAGATACTTAATATGGTTTTTTAATTTAAAATAATAGTGTTACTTATTAGTTATATATGTGCCTAAATATAATTGATATACATAAATTATGGATTAGCAATAAATTCGAAACATTACACTGGAATTTACCAATAGATGCATGTACTGCTTTCAAACTTAAGCTATGATGCTAGCCAATATGAAGTTTACTGCAGTCCTTCATATTAGTTTGCTTCAATCTGGGGTTTATTAGATTCACGAGTTTTACTTACAAGAATCAGATTCAGATGACTAAGATTATCTCCTTGCCAGCTGGATTATCCCTTGTGGGTCAATGCTTGGTAGTAACAGTGAAATTCAGTGACCAAGTTGTCTTTTTGCAAATCCCATGCCTTTGGACAGTCATGCTATCTTAAAAGTAGTGTTTGCTGGCTAATGATAGTGAGAATTGTTTTGGAGGTAATGATCATAAATGTAAAGTTGCATAGCTTTTTTGTCATCTAAGCAATATTCCATGTTAGAAATTGATGTTAGCCAGTACCCAGAAGTCCACATATAGAACTTAGTTTGGTAACTTATGCAGTCTTAAACTAGTTGTTTTCTGAAAAATTTGGGGTTGTGCTTTTGGAATATAATATATATGTTGCTGGTAATGCATACTTTCTTATGGTACTGCTCTTTTAATTACCATAATTTGCTGCTTGTTATTGTGATTACCCATGATATTTCTGTAGCCATCTCTGATTAACAGTCATGGAAGTTGTTCTCTCCCTCTTTTTTCTTGTTACAAGGACAGAATTATCAAGAAGAAGGCAAGAAAAGAAATTAAAAAGAGAAAAAGGAATCACCTGGTTGATTTGTGTTTTTGATTTCAGTTGGAAGTTCAATATTTTCTTTATTTGATTAGTGATGCAAATTATCGCCAAAACTTAAGGTCTGTGCTTGCAGGTAGGAGATTCTTTGAAGAACTAGATAGAGATGGTGATGGCCAAGTGAATTTGGAGGATCTTGAAATTGCAATGAGAAAAAGAAAATTGCCACGGAGATATGCTAGAGAATTTATGCACCGCACAAGGAGTCACTTATTTTCAAAATCATTTGGTTGGAAACAGTTTTTATCCTTGATGGAGCAGAAGGAGCCAACAATTCTCCGTGCCTATACGACTTTATGTTTAAGCAAGTCTGGGACACTGCAAAAGAGTGAGATACTGGCATCACTCAAGAATGCTGGGCTTCCTGCCAATGAAGACAATGCTGTTGCTATGATGCGGTTTCTAAATGCAGATACTGAAGAATCTATTTCATATGGACATTTCCGGAATTTTATGCTCCTGCTGCCTTCTGAGATACTACAAGATGATCCTCGGTAAGATGAATTTGTCTAATGAGAGCACTTTTTTTTTCAGTGTTAAATACATAGTTTATGCCAAATGTCTTTGGCATTGAGATGGGAAATACAGAACAATTATAGTTGCACCAACTTGATCTTTGTTTCCTTGTTTCTTGTCCCTCCCACTTTCACCAATATTTTTAGAGGATTTGCATCACACAGATTACTTATCATTTTTTTTCCTTGGTGATCACTTATCTTTGTAACTTGTATAGGAATATCTGGTTTGAAGCTGCGACTGTTGTTGCTGTTGCACCACCTGTGGAAATACCTGCTGGAAGTGTTCTGAAATCAGCATTAGCAGGAGGGCTTGCCAGTGGCCTGTCCACTTCTTTACTGCACCCGATTGATACAATTAAGGCAAATCTTACAGCTTTATAGTTGGATAATCATGCACGTGAAATTTTCATATAACAAAATCTTCTGTTGAAATGTGCCCTAAATCAATCTGTTACAATAGCTTTAGTATGTTAGATATTTGTTCAAAGTTCTTAGTTGTGGATAAACTATTTAGACGGGATGCTGTCACAGAATTTTGTTGGCACATTGAGGTCTTACATGAGCATTTGCCCGATGTAATCAGACCTTTTCTGAGTTGCAGCTATATGTGATAGCAGAGCCTGTGGATGGTAGCAATACTTTCATGGAAATTGTAATTGTAGTGCTAAGGAGCCCAGTTGCAAGCACTCTGTACAATCATAGAAAAAGGTTCCTTGATGTGTTCTGTTTGGTTTGGATAGTTTGCCTATTTGATGGCTGGTGCAGTTTAGTAACTGATAGCTCATGGTCCTGTTAATGTTCTTTAGTAGAAAAAAATGATATTCACTAAGCACCTAGGGATGCCACCTATGTACAAAAAAAGCATGTGCAAGCAATCTAGATATACTTCAAAATATCAGCTGTGGAAAAAGGTCCTTGTTTTTTTGGTAGCTGCCAACCTAGATTTTGAATCACGTAAACATATGTCAATTCACTTGAAAAAGAGAATGCTGCTTGGTGTTCCTTTCTGCGACACAAGAATAGTGGACACAAAGGCAAGTTTCTGTTAAGCAGTTTTTGTTCTGTGTCACTTAGGATTAAGATATTGGTATGCATGCAAATCTTCAAGCATGTGATTGTTGATTTTCTTGGTACAATCTTTGATTGCATAGATTTGTTTGTTTCGTAAGGTGATGTCATGAAGTTACTTCTTTTGGGTTTACCAGACACGGGTTCAAGCGTCATCAACATCAACATTTCCTGAGATAATTTCAAAGCTTCCTCAAATTGGAGTTCGAGGATTATACAGGGGATCAATTCCAGCAATTCTTGGACAGTTTTCAAGGTTCCTCTCTTTTTACCCTAATTCTCTCTTTTTTTTTTTTTCTTTTTGCTACTGCTTTGTGGCATGAACTTATCCCTACAGCTATTGTTGTTGACTTTGCAGCCATGGTCTGCGAACAGGAATATTTGAGGCAAGTAAACTTGTGTTGATAAATGTTGCTCCAACACTCCCGGAAATCCAGGTAATTACTACTTTTGTACTATTTGGTTTTCCTTGAATTTTCTTTTCATGCAATAGAAATTCTTTTTCTGTTTGCATTTTGGAGCCTTCTGGCCCGGAGTTTGTGAATGCTCATGTCTTTAGGATAAGCAATAGTCCTAAAAAACTAAACTCTAGAAAAACAAGTACTCTGTCTCTTATCATAGTAGTTGTTTTCTGCATCAAGATTTCAATTTTAGCTCATGTTTTAACAATTCCATCCGAGAGTCTTAGAGTAACTCATGATTTATCCATAAATGTTACTGATGTTGGACAAGAAAGCTTGAATACAAAACTTAGAGAAATTTATTAAGAACAAAATGTTGAAATCGCGGATCTTAAAAATAAAAGCAATATATCTCCACATTTGAATAGTAATCATTAATCGTTTACTTAATAACTAAGTTAGGGTACCTTACTTACAGGCACCAAATGCAATTAAAAATAGAAAATATAGAAAATTGAGTAAATAGAAAAATAAGCTAAATAGAAACATTGTGTAGAAGTTGTTATACCTAGATAGATTGGGGATATAATTCTTTTAAATGTAAAACTATTATATTATTTAAAAGTCTATTATTATAGGTTTGTATAACTTTAGGATTTTATTCTCTTTAATATTTAGATTTCCTATTTGTTTTAATAGCCCACATCTGTGTTAATATTAGTTTTCCTCGTCTCCTTTTTTTTTTTTGAGATTAAAACCTTCCCATTGTTTCCTAATCTTATTAATTTATTATTTCTTAGTTTACTCCTACTTAGTAAAAGTTACTTAGGAAGCATTATAAATATATTTGTAATTTTACTTCTTGGGACATCATTCAAGTTATTTAATAAAATATATTTATAATTTCACAAAATTTTGATTGTGTGGTGCAATCAAACCCTTAAATATGATGTTTAAAACTTTTTAGATGCAATGTTAAGAAACCCTACGTGTGTTTTTATCTCCGAATCCCTAATTTGACACATGAATCCTATTTGTCCGACATCAATTTGGTAATACGCCTAAATTTTCATTACACTACACCCAAACAATCCCAAATCCATTTGAAAAAAAAGCTACCTAAACAAAAAATTCACTGGAACACCGTTCACCAGATATCGCTGAAGGTGGTCAGCTCTGCCACCGCCATTAGCTCCAGAAGGTTCTGATCTGCAAACTCCTGAAGCCCCGCTGCGAAACTCCATCAGATACCACTATAATAGCTAGTGCAAGTTCTCCCAGCCGCTGTCTCCCTCATTCCCATACTTCTGCATAATCATGTCTTACACCCACCTCCGATCTACTATTGCCACCTTCATTCAAGTTGATTGACCCAATATCGTTGTTGACTGGTCACTGGAAGTCGGTGCATGGACTCCACATGTGTGCACCGGCTAGTGGGTAGTTAAATATAGTGCTCTGCTTTGACTTTTTGTGCTGGGTTTGGGCAGACCGGTTTACCTAGACCTATTTATCCAGTTCCAGGCCCATTTTTAGCAGTTCAAAACGAGGTATTCTTGTTCACTCTTCTTATTTTGTAGTCTCTTTCACAAAAGTTAGTGTGATGGAAAAGATTTCAACATTTCAAATTGTAAGGAAGAGAATGAGTTGTTGCTCGAGGATAATAGAAGGGACAACTCTTTCTTGACTGTGGTTAAGTGCAACTTTCTTTCTTGACTGTGGTTAAGCGCAACTTTGCAGTTCAAGTAAAAAAAAATCTGAAGTGTTATCCAATTTTCCAAACTGTAGCTCGTTGTAGAAATAAATATAAGAAACTTGTTATTCATGAAGAATGTTGCAGAAATCTTGTTTCAATATCTACAGTTGAACGACTCAATCTTTAGACACAGCCATGTCCAGAACCATATAGACTAGCTTGGATGGATTCGAGCATTTTGGTAACTCAACAAAGTCTTGTTTCTATTTGACATCATACCTCAATGGTCCAATCTGGTGATATGTAGTTCCTGTGATATTCACACTTGTTCTTCTAGGTCAACCTTAGCTTTATGATCGAAATGCTCAGCATGATAACATTACTAACATTTACCATTTTATGCTTGGCATAAAGAATGTAAATTTACAGTCTCCAATTACAGAAGAGATGAATAAATATAAATGTCCTAGAGCATCTGCTGTCAATGGAAAAGATAAAGAGTCGAAGTAGAGAAACTAGAAGAACTGTTATTTAAGATCTTTCACTACCTACAGAAAGTTTTATGGAAGTTCAATGCAATGATGAACTTGTCAAGAAAGAATAGTTTATGTGTATTCTATTGATTATTATGGCTGTTAACATATAGGCCTTTTAGGACAAAAAATAAAATATACAATTAACTACTTCAATTACGAAGGATGTAATTTACTCTTGTACCCTTTAACCTAATTCACCATTTTTCTAACACTCCTCAAGATGGGAAATAGATGTCGGCAATTCCTAACTTGTCAATAAGAGTTCAGAGTCCTAGATTGTTTGAGCTTTTAGTCAATACATCTGCTGGTTGCGAATTGGTAAGCATATATGTGTAATGTGCCAGCTTCTCTTTTCAGAAGAAAATACTGCCACACGTGTAAAATTCACCTATTGCACAACAATTTGATAAAATTTAAAATTATTCATCCCTTGTACAAATTTACAATACATGAGGTTCTATAAAATTTCTTTACAATAAATATCTTATCTTAGTTTATTTTACAACAAAACAAAACTAGAAATTTTCTTCAAAGTTCTTACTAATCTTGAAGCTTACTTCAAACCCGTTTTAATCTGAGATAGCTGTGGAAATTTGAGGTGAGAATTCCGCTATCTCATGAGGAGAAAGATAGTATCCAAAATAGAGATATGCAAATAAACATTTACGTAGGTTTGATAGAACAAATAAAAATTTTATTG